AACAGTATCAGCAGCAATAATGACAACATATGTGTGATGATAGCGTCGATGGGGTGCAGTGCACCGTGCACATGCGCAGCAGGAGCATAGCCGGTGCCCAGAGATGCGATGCGTAATGCAGCTCACAATGGCCAAGCTGATGGTGATTGGCAACGTTGAGATGGTGATTATGATGATGTTGTGGGCGAAGTTGATGAGGATGGTGAAAATGGCGATGCTGCTGGTGATGAAAGATGGTGGTGGTGATGATGAACATGGGGGGGACGATGATGGTGTTGATTGTGGTGGAGGTGGCGGTGATGCAGGCGCGTGTGAAGATGGCCGCGAAGGGGGAGGAACAGAAGAACCATGACACATTCCGAAAAGGAAAAAGGAAATGAGAGGGAAAAAGGACAGGGGGAGGAGGCAGCAAAGATGATGATGAGGATGGCGGTGATGATGGCTCCTATGATGTATGTGGCGGTGGTAGCGATGATGATCACGGTGAAAAGAAATTTGAGAAACCAACAACAGGGGCTCTGGGGAGGGTGGTGGGACCAACTGAGCGGCATGGTGATGATAAAGGCTGGTGAGGAGGAGACGGACGACGCTGATGGGGATGGCGATGACGTTGCTGAGGGTGGGTGTCTGTGGTGGTTGTGGATAGCGGCAGGTGATCAGGAAGATAAGGGAGGCAAGGTAACCATGATTAGTTCTGAAGAAAAATGAGGAGGCGAAAAGGCCACCACGCAAAAATCAATGTGTAATCCGCCACCGAAGGAATCCTGCTGTAATCCGCCACAAAGAGGATCCTGGTGCTTCTCAAGAGAAATCGTTTTGTAATCCGCCGCAAGAGAAACCAATGTGGAATCACCTTGTAGTCCTCAGCAGGAATCAAAGTGTAAACTGCCGCAGAAAGAAACAGCTTGAAACCCGCATCAACTGGAAGCAATACGAAGGCCGCCATAGAGGAATTCTTGTAAACCTCCACACGTGGAATACATGTGTAATCCACCACAGAAGGAAAACATGTGTACTTAGCCCCAGAAAAAATGGAACCAGTCTGAAAAAGCTGCCACGTAACCGTTGTGCTTGTAATCCCGCGATGCAACACAGCTAAAGATAATCAAGAAGATAATGAAAACAGCGAAAAAGCACGAACACCGAAGAGGAAGCATTTAGAAAAAAAAAACAATGTGGTACACAGACACACACACACACACACACACACACACGGGGGGGGACGTTACCAACTCCACGGGTCAAGGGGAGTGAGGGGAGGAAGGAGGGTGAAGGTGAGAAGAGGAGATGGGAGCGAGGGGAAGACATGGAGCGAGGGGAAAGGGCGAGAAAACAGCATGGGAGGAGGGGGAGGAGAGAGGGTGAAGTTCCCAACAGGAACGCCACGCGCTGTTCCACTCTCTCCCAACCGCCCTCCCACCACATCAGTAGCACCTGTACTCAGCAAATCGGCGGCCGCCTTCATGATGGTCAACCATTGGGCACACATGCAGCCGCCAGATGTGGAAGGTTCGCGAGACGCGCCACGCGTGCCAGGTGTGACACGCGCACCAGGGGTACACTAAGTGCCCTGAATGTGAAAGCGCGTCAGGCGCGTACGTTCCGCCAGATGCGCCACGTGCACGAATTGTGCCAGGTGCTACAGGCGCGCCAGCGCACGTGAAGACACACATCGGGCAGCATGTCGACACTGCAGCACCCCTGGACAAAAAACATGCGCAATGACGGCGGGGTGGCGAGAATCGCGTCAATGCTGGGAATACCTGCTCCTCGACGCCCCCAAAAGGCCCTCAACAAGCCTCGAAAAGCTCTCCACGCGCCCCCCAAGAGCCCCCCAAAAAGTCCAATATGAGGGGTCGGCCGGCAAACTGGCATGAACCACTTGAGCAAATGCTCCTCAAGAGACCCAGGTCGCGGAATCCGTTAGTTCATGGGCGGTCACGGGGCTTGTTGAGCAACCTTTTGAATGCAAACTGCCAGCCAACCAAAGTGCCATCTGCCAACCTGCAAACTTCCCCGCTCCCGGGCTTTCCAGGGGCCTCGGGAGCGTGCGCTTGCCTCCAAGCTGCCAACCTACAACCTACTCTAAGATGGTCCCAGGGCCACGTCCTGCGGCCTTCCGGGGGGCCGCTGGGGCAATCTCGAAAGCCCTGGGGGCTCGCCCAAGATGCCACCGTCATCGACAGCTACGGTGGTTGCTCTTAGGTGTTTGCACACCAGCCTTGTCGGTCTGAAGAGCGTCCAAGACGTCCCAAGGCGCCATCAAGGCCCGCTCGGGCGGGCCCCCGAGGGCTGCAGGGGAGACCAGGAGGCGCGCAGGAGGGGGCAGCCCCGCCCCTGGGAGGAGCCCTCCCCCCCCAGACATGGACCCCAAGACGGCCACAGCGCCAAGAAGCCCCCAGGATGCGTCCCAGAGAGGTCCTGGGAAAGCCTCGAAGGCTCCCACGAGGCCCTGAAGGGGCTGTTCAAGATGCCTCCCCCCCCAATCAAAGGCGCCCCGACCCACACATCTGGGAGGAATCTTGTCCACGACCCAGGCACTGTGGCGGGATGGGCTGAAGGTCACTCGAGGGGGGGGTTATACGCTTGCTGCCCCTCCCATCGTCCCACCCCTACCACCCCCCACTCCCCCTTCTCCTCCTCCTCCTCCTCCTCCTCCTCCTCCTCCTCATCATCATCCTCATCCTCATCCTCATCCTCATCCTCATCCTCCTCATCCTCCTCCTCCCACCATCATCATCATCATCATCATCATCATCATCATCATCATCATCATCATCATCATCATCATCATCATCAGCATCAGCATCAGCATCAGCATCACCATCATCATTAGCATGTGCATCAGTATCAGCAGAATCATCATAATCAAAAATCGTCGTCATCATCATCAGCATCACCAGCATCAGCATCACCAGCATCATCATCATCATCATCATCATCATCACCACCGCCATCATCACCACCAGCATCACCACCATCGTCGGCATGATCATCAGCATCAGCATCATAAGCATCATAATCAGAATCATCACCCTCATCATCCTCATCCTCATCCTCTTCATCATCCTCATCATCACCAGCATACTAATCATTATCGCCATCAGCATCATCATCAACATCATCAACATGAGCATCAGCATCATCAACAACAACATCGCCATCATCATGATGATCATCAGCATCAACAGCATCACCATCATCGCCATCATCAGCATCATCACCATCATCATTATTAGTACGGTCATCGCCACAATCACCATCATCCTCGTCACCATCATCGTCGTCATCGTCATCGGCATCATCATCATCATCATCATCATCACCCGTATCACCATCAGTAGCATCATCAGCATCATAAACATCACCATCATAGTCGTCATCATCATACTCGTCGTCGTCATCATCATCAATACCATCACCCTCGACAGCAATAATCACCACCACCAGCATCAGCATCAGTTTCATCATCATCATCACCATGTGAATCACTTCCTCCACCACCACCACCATAATCACCATCGTCATCAGCAGCATCATGACAATCCTGATGATGATCATCACCGTCGCCATCATCCTCATCCTCCTCCTCCACCTCATCATCATCATCATCATCATCATCATCATCATCATCAGGATCACCATCATCATCACCATCACCATCACCATCACCATCACCATCATCATCATAATCAGCATCACCACCATCACCATCATCACCATAATCATCATCTTCATCACCATCATCATCATCATCATCATCATCATCATCATCATCATCATCGTCATCAGCATCAGCATCACCGTCACCATCACCATCACCATCGCCACCATCATCGGCATCATCATCAGCAGCATCGTCAGCATCATCAGCGTCATCATCCTTGCCATCGTCCTCTTCGAAGGGGCGTGCCTCCTGGCCCTGGCCGAGCGCCGCCACGCCCGCGTCGGAAAGCGGCACCCCAGTGCTCTGGCGCAGCTGGTCCTGGCACGGGGGCGCAGGGAGTCCAGCCCGCCGAGGAGGAGGGAGGAGGAGGAGGAGGAGGAGGAGGAGGAGCAAGGGGTAAGGAGTAGACTTTCCGCCCAGGACGAGGGAGGAGGAAGGAGGGGGGGAGGGGGAGGGGGAGGAGGAGGAGGAGAAGGAGGAGGAGGAGGAGGAGGAGGAGGAAGAAGAGAAGGAGGAGGAGGAGGAAGAAGAGAAGGAGGAGGAAGGAAAAAGGAAGTGGCCTGCCTCCGAAGAGGCAGGGCCAGAAAACGAAGCGAGCCTGGCAAGCAACGCGCGCCAGACGCCGACGCGCCGCGTGCGGCGCGAGCGGCCTCGGAGGCCAACCTGCGCTGCTGGAAGGTCCGGCCACGAGGCCGAGCCCTTGCCCCTGGCCGCGAGGCAGAAGCACGATCAGCCTCGCCCTTGTCCACCGTACGTCTTGCCCTCGCGGCCAGCTCCTGCCAGGGAGCATGCCGACGGGGCCCCTGGCCACGAGGCCGGATCAACAGGAGCACGATCAGCCTCGCCCTTGTCCACCGTACGTCTTGCCCTCGCGGCCAGCTCCTGCCAGGGAGCATGCCGACGGGGCCCCTGGCCACGAGGCCGGATCAGCAGGAGCAGCTTCACAAGGGCGTTCCGCTGCTCGCAGAGTCGCTGCTCGCAAATGGCCCGGATCCGCCGTGGGGGACTCACGATGTACTGCATCGAGGCGCACGTGGGCTTTTCGGACGTTTGCGAGCAGGCGCTTTCCGAGCCGTGGAACGCGCTCGGCGATTCGCGATCAGCCTCGCCCGATGTACTGCATCGAGGCGAACGTGGGCTTTTCGGACGTTTGCGACCAGGCGCTTTCCGAGCAGTGGAACGCGCTCGGCGACTCACGATCAGCCTCGCCCTTGCCTGCCGCTGCCAGGGCACATGCCGACGGGGCCCCTGGGGGACCTCCACACCGGCCGCGAGCCTTCGCTGCCGGCCGAGCTCTCGGGCGACCGGTGAAGCTCAGCCCGGAAGGCCCGCGCCAGCCTCTGACGACACCGCGTGGGCTGCTCGACCCCGAGCGGCCGCCGCTCTCGGGCCAGCCGCGAGCGCTCGCACTGCGGGCCCGCTGGAGCTCCGCCCTGGAACGCCCGCTCGCGCCGGCGTCGCGGCCGCGCCGGCGCAGCGCGTTCGAACGGATGCCACCGAGGACGATGCAGGGCAGATCCGCTTCCAGTGGGGGTGCTTCCCGCGGCGGCGACAAGCTGCTGCACGGACGTATGAGCAGGTGGCACGGGACAAGAGGATGCGAGCCACGTTGCTGATGCATCCTGGGTTTACTCTGGTACTCGTCGTCCTCTCCCCTCCTCGTAAATAACTCCTCCCTGCCGCACCCCCCCAACGTGCTGGTAGGGCGAGCCGGGCGTTCCGCCTGAGAACCTCACCATTTATGATCCCGAAGGTTGAAATTAGCAACAATTTCACGTATGGAGGGCGGGTGGTTTTCAACAAGTGGCTCTCGCCTTAGCGCCGCGCACATTCGGCGAAACCCGTTGCAACGGTTTCACGGATGGAGGGCAAGTGGTTTCCAACATGTGGCTCTCACCTTCGTTTGGAGAGTTTGTAGCATTTTTCATGGATGGAGGGCACCAAAAAAACGAGGCTCTCGCCTAAGCGCCGCGCACATCCGTTGTGTAAATCTTCACGGATATTGGGCGGCTCCTTGTCAAAATGTGGCTCTCGAATTAGCGCTGCGCACATTCGTCTCAGAAGCTTGCAACAGTTTCAAGGAGTCGTATGGTTGAAGTCCCAGAAATCGCGTTCTGGCATGATTCAGGGCTGTCAAGACGCATCGGTCACGTTGATTCGCAGTGCTGAAGTCCCAAGAACGATGTCATGGCACGACTTAAGATTGCCAGGGGACGCAACAGTCACCTTGATCCGAGGCGTTGAAATCACGGTTGAGGATTATCAGAAGGTTGTCTTTCAATGGGCAGCTTCCTGCAATGAAGGTGCATCCTTATAGGATTCCTATGGAGAGGGAACTTGGAGGGAGGTTTACTGCAACATCGTTGTTGCGTCATGAGTTTACACAGGTCCTCCTCCTCCTCCTCCTCCTCCTGCTCCCTCCCTCCTCCCTCCCTTCCCTGTTGTCGACCTCTCTCCGCCTTGCTCCCTCGTCCCTCCTGCATCCCTCTTCCCCGCTCGCTCCCTCGTCCCTCCTGCATCCCTCTTCCCCGCTCCTCCCTTCATCCTCTCCCCCTTTGCCTGCGTCCCCCACCCCTGCCCTCTGGGCGAGCGCTCCAGAGTGGTCAGAGCCAGGTCGCCCTTCGAGACCCTCTTGGACAACTCCTGGTAAGAGGCCGCGAACTCGGAACATGATGAGGACATCGAGAGAGAGAGAGAGATCAAAACAAGATGAGCAGACGGGGAGGATGAGGATGAGGAGGAGCAGGAAGAGGGTGAGGAGGAGTAGGACGGCGACGAACACGACGACGACGACGACGACGACGAAGACGAGAATGAGCAGGAAGAGTACTCGGGCCCAAAAGGAATAGCACACGGCTTCACATTAGGAAGAAGAGACGGCGGAGAAGCAGGAGTAGGATGACAGGCGGAGGAAGGAGGGAGGCTCAGCGGCAGCATGGGAGAAGTCGACAGGGAACAGCAGCAGGACACGGAGCAGCACTTGGAGGGTGAGGATGAGAATAGGTACTATCAAAATGCTGAAATAAGAGCCGTTCTCCCCGACACGCTTCAAAGCCACCTCCACGAGGCTCCGCCGGGCCACCCAGACAGCTGCCGAGACGCCCACGAGAAGCCCCACAGACTGCCCCAAAAAGCCCACGACGCCTCAGCCGTGGACTCCGACCTCCTTCTGGGGGTCGGCGGATTGGCGCAAATCTTTTGACATAAAGACCATTCGGGTGTTGCTAGAAGTGCCCCTGGCCCAAGGTGCCCCCAGCTTTTCGCTCAATTTTTGAGCCCCTGGGGCCCTCTGGGCCTCATGAGAGGTGCTCCGGAGGCCGCCTGGGCCACCCCGAGAATCCTGGGGGGTACCTTGGGCCAGGGGCACTTCCAGCAACACCCGACCCTTTCTCTGGGCTCACGAGGGGCTCTGGTCTGACGGCGCGCTCCTCAGAGAGCCAGGCTCAGGTCGGGCCTGTCCCCCTACAGGGGGATGCTCGACGAAAAATAAAAGATACTCAAAAAGTATTCCAAAATGATCCAAAAATGATCAAAAAATGGTCCCCTGGCTAATTTTTTAACTATTTTGGAATATTCCCCCTGTAGAGGGACAGGCCCGACTGAAACCCAGGCCGGGGGGGCACCTGCTCGTGCCCCGGGGCGCGCCGTGGCTGGGCCCGCTCCGCGCGGGTGGCCCGAGGACCTCGAGGGGCGGGAGCGGAGGGGGAGGCGGTGGGACGAGGCGGGGTCGGCTAGGGGGCCACATGCGAACCCTACCCCAGATTTCGTAATACAGGGAGGGGGGTCTCATTTCGGGGGGGGTCTCTTCCAGGCTATCTTGGAGGGCCTGGGGGGGTCTGGGGACGATGCTTTGGAGGGTTCTCCCACGGGAGGGGGTCTAAAACTTCTCGTCTGGGAGGGTTGAGACCCCCTCCCATTTATTACGAAATCTGGAGTACCCCTACCCTCCACGATTTCTGGGGGGGAGGGTGGGGTTCACTGCCTTCGGGAGCTCCCGGGCGAAGTGAACCCCACCCTCCCCCTCAGAAATCGTGGGGGGTAGGGGTAGGGTTCGCATGTGGCCCCCTAACCTCCAGGGGCGGGAGCGGAGGGGGAGGCAGTGGGACGAGGCGGGGTCGGCTTGACCCAAGAGGGGGTCCAGCGACAATAGGGGAACACAAAGTGGCATAAACATAAAAACTCGAAGGTCCGCGCGGATTTCTCGGATCCGCGCTGACCCCCCTCCCTGGCGCGCGGAGCGCGCCAGGGGCGGCGCCGTAGTCGCCGCCGGGGGGTCCCAGCGCCGATCCGAGAAATCCGCGCGGACCTCCGAGTTTTTATGTTTATGTCACTTCTTGTTCCCCTAGACAAGGGCGTGGTGCAATAGTCGCCGAGCGCGTTCCACTACTCGCAAAGTGCCTGCTCGTAAAAGTCCGAAAAAGCACATGTCTGCTTTGATGTAATGTATCGTAGATCCCCCGCGGGGGATCCAGGCCATTTGCGAGTAGTTACTTTGCGAGTAGTGAAACGCGCTCGTCGAAATAGGTTTGGTGCAATAGATTTGTGGGGTTGCAGTACATTTGGGGCGTGCAACACATGCCGGGGCGCAAGTGCATGGCTGGATTTTCGCGTGCAGCACATTACTCGCAATAGAATGCAATGCAACTCTCCGGCGCAATGCATGTGCAATCCAACTGCCCAAAACCTATTGCACCACCCCCTTCAAGCTGGACCCCCTTTTGGGTCAACCAGAAGGAGGAAAGCTGGATCATCTGGAAGGGGTGAGGAGATGGAGGAGGAAAGCTGGATCTGCTGGATCATCTGGAGGAGGAAAGCTGGGATTGATGTGGGGGCGGAGGCTTCTTGGATTGCCTTGCAAGCCGCCTCTGCCGATTTCTGCGCCCCAGGCGTCGAGGAAGCTCTGTACTTGTCGCCTGGGCCTACCCGGGCCCAAGCTGTCTGACGCTTCGGGCCCTCGAGGCCCAACAGCTTGCCTAAGAAGAAAAAAAATTAGGAAAGCTGGGAGGGTATGGTTTTTGCTGCTCGATGATCCAATGTGTTCCTCACTTGTCCGCACCGCGAAAAATGCACACGTCCGAGCGATGCCAAGACCACATCCACCCTCTTACTCGACCACCTCCAGCAGCCGACTCGGTGCAGGAAGCAGCTGCCTGCCGTGGCCGCCGCGCCAGTCTGCGTCCTCGTTCGGGCCCTCTTGCCCTAGTTTCCCTCGTTTTGGGGGCCATCCTTCTGGTCCTCGTCGTGTTGGAGGGGAGCTGAGGCTAAACGTCAGCGCACGTCCGAAAGACAACCAACAGCTCCATCCCTCTTAACTATCTAGAAGCCTCCTAGATAGGGGTCGGAGTACTTAGATGGGGTCGGAGGATCGCGCCGCATCGGCGACGTGGGCGAGGCATCGGCGACGCCAGCGCGGAGAAGATCGGGCTCCGCATCGAGCCGCATCGGCGATGCATCGGCGACGCGGCGCGATCCTCCGACCCCATCTACTCGGACCCCATCTGGAAGGCCTAGCATATCCGCCGCCGTGCCGCGGCGGCACTGAGTGGAATGCCCTCAGGTCCCTTCCTGAAGGGGCAGGGCCCCCGCGTTCCGGGGGCACTCTTGGGCGCTGCTGGGAATCCCCGCGCGAAGTGTTCGAAGACTTCGGGAGCACAGCAGTGAGTCTCCACGCTTCCAACAACGTGGCCCAGGATGGTCGAAGGCCCGTCCTGGAGACCTCTTGGGCGCCTCTTGGGCCGTTTTGGAAGCCCTGGGGACCAGCCCGGAGGGCCAAAAGTAACTGAAAGCCTTGGTCTCCGCATGATTTTCGCACACCCAAAATGCTCCCAATATCGCTCCAAGACCCCCGAGGTCCCCACGAGGGCCCCGTTCGACCCCACGACGGCCCGCGAATGGGCCCAAGCGGGGGGACTCCCGACCTGACGTCGCCAGCCCTTCCCCGCATGGTGGCCCCCGAGGCCGCGAGCAGGCCCACGGGGCGCCTCCAAGATGGCCCCCGAGAGGCGCACATGGGACCCCGAAGGAAGACAGTCGGCCTTGACCTAAGGAACCCAAAATAAGGAACGAGGCCCCTTTTTTCCATGAGTTAAACTTCGATTTCCCACAGAAAATTAAAGGAAAACCTGAGGCAAGCTGCGAAACACTTAAGGAACGCGGAGCCCCTCCCCAGCGGGAGTGTAAGAGACGGCACGCGTCGCGAGGCACAGGACACAAGGGTACCCTTGAGCTGGCAGGGTCGACCTACTAATCCGGGCCGCCTGTACCCGCAGAGGCCCAAACCTGTGATTTTCCCAAGTTGGTTCAATGATTTTCGCTGTCATGCCTTTCCGGCATTCCGACGGCAGAAGACGGCCCTATAAGCCTTCAAGATAGGCCCACGACGGCCCAAAAGAGCCCCCAAGGGAGCCCCAAGACGGGCAAAGAGGACCCAGAGACGGCCCCACAAGGGTCCCAAGATGGCCCGATGGACATCCAAGACTGCCTTAACGCGCCCCAAGAAGGCCCAAGACGGCCCAGAGGGGTCCCCGAGACGGTCTTCGAAGCAAAGGACCCCAAGAGGCCACAAAGAGACCCATCAGAGGCCCCCAACAGGCATCAAGAAACTCCCAGGAGACCCCAAGAGAGCCCCAGGAGGCCTCCTCTTCCTCCTCCTCCTCCTCCTCCTCCTCCTCCTCCTCCTCCTCCTCCTCCTCCTCCTCCTCCTCCTCGTCCTCGTCCTCGTCCTCGTCCTCCCTCCTCTTCCTCCTCCTCCTCCTCCTTCTCCTCTTCCTCTTCCTCTTCCTCCTCCTCCTCCTCCTCCTCCTCCTCCTCCTCCTATCTCTTCCTCCCCCAAGTGCTCCTCCAAGAGTTTCCGACAGCTTAGCTTTGGCCCGGGCAGCACTGGCGTTTCCAGAAAGGCAGGGGGCGGTGGTGACTCGCCGTAGGCGTGATCGGTAACTCCGGCTCGTCGCACCAACCAGGCATGTCGGACGGGCGGGGTGGGCGTTTCGCCCGCGACTCCCTCGCCAAAGCTCAAATATTCCAACGGCCACACGGATGGCGAGCGGGTCGCTCTCGAACCGCGGCGTTCGCCCTGGCGCCGCGGGCGTTCGCCAATGTAGGCGGCCGACCGTCGGAAGGATGGAGGCAGGTTCTTTCCTACCTGTGATTGTCGCAATAGCACCACACACATCTTCAGAGCTTCCCACATATACACGGATGGAGCGCTGCGCATCTTCAAAGAGTGCCTCGAGTCTCAGCGCCGCGCACCTTCGCCAGAGAGGCTTCCAAGAAGTATAAGACTGGGAAGCGGCTCATGAACAACATCGGGATATAGCTTGAGTCGGTTGAGGCACCCTTCGATGGTATTACAGAATTGCCAAGTTGTTAACGGGATGGAGGGCGGTTCGATTTCAGAACGGGGCCATGAGTTGGGACGTGCTCAACAACCATGACCATAAGCGCATCATTGCGCAACCGCAAATTACGCGGATGGAGGGCGGCTCCTCGCAAATACGGGGCTCTCGTTAGACACTCCCTTGAGATCTGTTTGGCCCTTGGACCCCTTCGCACATAGCTGGACGGATGCAGGGCAGCTCATTTTGTAAACGGGTCTCTCGCCAGAGTTGTCGGCCCATGGCGCGCTCGTCTCTCAGGGAATAACCGCAGGGGACCTGAAACGGGAGTATTCTGCAGCGCCGTTGGGTGATGTACTCGTTATGTGTTTACTCTGGCTCTCCATTTCCTCCTCTTCCTCCTACCTCTCCCCCTTCATCCTCACTTTCCTCCCTTTCCTCCCCATCCTCCTCCTTCTCCCCCTCAACCTCCTCCTACCCCGTCATCCTCCTCTTCCTGTTCCTCCGCCCCCTCCCTCCCCTTCCTATTCCTCCTTTCTCTTCGTCCTCATGCTCCTCATCCTCGTCGTCGTCGTCGCCGTCGTCACCATGCTCCCCTGCCTACATTTTCCGAGACATGCTACTGAGCCTCGCGGACCCGAATCGTCGTCCCCTGCCCACTTGCAGTCAATCCGTACACCAAGGACGCATGAACATCCGCCGCTCTGCGGTTGATCGGGAGTTTCTGTATATATAGAAGAGGGGGCGCGCGCTTCTGGGCGAGAGGGAAACGACCGAGAGAAGAAGGGGCGGCCGCCCCACAGGACCTCTCCATGGTGCCGGAAGCCCATCAGGGCTCCCTCAGGGCCCCTCCCCCAGGGCCGGGGCTCCCTCGCCTGCCCCCTCCCCCTCCTCCTCCTCCTCCTCCTCCTCCTCCTCCTCCTCCTCCTCCTCCTCCTCCTCCTCGCCCCCGTCGGCATATCCAGGCGTGTTATGCAGTCAGGTCGTCCGTCCGGAAACGGTGCCGGAGGCCGCTCTGGGCTCCTCTGGGCATCCCCCCCGGGGCCCGTTTTGTGAGGATGTCTCAGGCGAGGGCGCCGGTTTGGGATTCGTCACCGGATCCAGCGGATCCAGCGGATCCGTCCGGAAACGGTGCCGGAGGCCGCTCTGGGCTCCTCTGGGCATCCCCCCCGGGGCCCGTTTTGTGAGGATGTCTCAGGCGAGGGCGCCGGTTTGGGATTCGTCACCGGATCCAGCGGATCCAGCGGATCCAGCGGATCCGTCCGGAAACGGTGCCGGAGGCCGCTCTGGGCTCCTCTGGGCATCCCCCCCGGGGCCCGTTTTGTGAGGATGTCTCAGGCGAGGGCGCCGGTTTGGGATTCGTCACCGGATCCAGCGGATCCGGATCCGGAAACGGTGCCGGAGGCCGCTCTGGGCTCCTCTGGGCATCCCCCCCGGGCCCGTTTTGTGAGGATGTCTCAGGCGAGGGCGCCGGTTTGGGATTCGTCACCGGATCCAGCGGATCCAGCGGATCCGTCCGGAAACGGTGCCGGAGGCCGCTCTGGGCTCCTCTGGGCATCCCCCCCGGGGCCCGTTTTGTGAGGATGTCTCAGGCGAGGGCGCCGGTTTGGGATTCGTCACCGGATCCAGCGGATCCAGCGGATCCGTCCGGAAACGGTGCCGGAGGCCGCTCTGGGCTCCTCTGGGCATCCCCCCCGGGGCCCGTTTTGTGAGGATGTCTCAGGCGAGGGCGCCGGTTTGGGATTCGTCACCGGATCCAGCGGATCCAGCGGATCCGTCCGGAAACGGTGCCGGAGGCCGCTCTGGGCTCCTCTGGGCATCCCCCCCGGGGCCCGTTTTGTGAGGATGTCTCAGGCGAGGGCGCCGGTTTGGGATTCGTCACCGGATCCAGCGGATCCAGCGGATCCGTCCGGAAACGGTGCCGGAGGCCGCTCTGGGCTCCTCTGGGCACCTCCCCCGGGGCCCTTTTTGTGGGATGTCTCAGAGGGCGCCGGTTTGGGAGGATGTCTCAGGCGAGGGCGCCGGTTTGGGATTCGTCACCGGATCCAGCGGATCCAGCGGATCCGCGGATCCCGGAAACGGTGCCGGAGGCCGCTCTGGGCTCCTCTGGGCACCCCCCCGGGGCCCGTTTTGTGAGGATGTCTCAGGCGAGGGCGCCGGTTTGGGATTCGTCACCGGATCCAGCGGATCCAGCGGATCCGTCCGTCCGGAAACGGTGCCGGAGGCCGCTCTGGGCTCCTCTGGGCATCCCCCCCGGGGCCCGTTTTGTGAGGATGTCTCAGGCGAGGGCGCCGGTTTGGGATTCGTCACCGGATCCAGCGGATCCAGCGGATCCAGCGGATCCGTCCGGAAACGGTGCCGGAGGCCGCTCTGGGCTCGTGCTCTTCGCGCCGGGGGTGAGGATGACGTGAGTTCCACAGAAACTCCCTCAAACAAGGGGCCTTGCAAGGCCATGTCGACACTCTGCGAGCGGGGCGCGGCCAGCGGGAGAGGCCAAGGATGGGCCGAAGGGGAAGGCTGCAAGGGCAAGCCTGGAACGTCGATCAACCCTCCTATGCGGGTTGACTGTGCCCCCCCCCCTCCCCCCTCCGCCTCCCCCCCACCCAAGGAGCAATCGGGCGGGCCAAGCGCCCGCCCGACTGCACCGCCCGCGGAGCACTGGGCACCAGTGCCCCCCTCGCCCTCCCCCCCGAGGTTCGACGCTGCGAACCGAAAATGCGACATCGCGACAAGTAAGCCTCGAACAAATCCCCATCCCCGAGGTCGGCAAACCCAACGCGCTGACAACCTTACGGCTGCGCCCTCAGAAGCGGAAGGAATCCTGAAGATCAGCAGCGAGAGCAGGTGATGCCAATCATAGGGGTAGGGACATGCTTCAAGCCGGCAATCGACGAACCACGACCGCGAGGCCCGAGACCCCACTGTGCTGCGGCACGGCTCGAGCCGGATCGACTCTGCGATGGCCCCCGGGCCCGAAGACGGGCGAACACGCCCAGCTTGCCGTCGCTCGGACGTCCATTTCCCGTGTATGTTTCGGTGTTGTGCGTGTTTTTCTCTTGCTCGATGGTCCAGGATGGTCCTCGATGGTTCTCGCCGAGGAAAAATGCACACGTCCGAGCGATGCCAAGCCAGTGTGGAACTGTCGCATGCTCATTCTGGGGACCTTCCTGGAGCCACTCGCTCCACTCGTGCGTCGAACCTGCGTCGAACCTGAGTCGAACCTGCGTCGAACCTGAGTCGAACCTGAGTCGAACCTGAGTCGAATCTGAGTAGAACCTGAGTCGAACCTGAGTCGAACCTGAGTCGAACAGATCTGTTAGGTAGGCCCCAGGAAGGTCCCCAAAACGAGGATCGAAGAACTGTGTGGAGGGGGGGGGGCGGGCTGGCTCAAGGCGGCGTGATGGGGGGAGCGAGAGGGGGCGAGGGGGGAGCCAGGGGGGAGGAGGGGGAGGAGGAGGAGGAGGAGGAGGAGGAGGAGGAGGAGGAGGAGGAGGAGGAGGAGGAGGAGGAGGAGGAGGAGCGAGGAGGATCGAGGAGGATCGAGGAGGATCTCGGGGCCGAGCCCCCCGCCCGTCTGCCACGTGCACCGGGCCAGAGCGGCGCGGGACGGCCCCTTGGGGCCCGAGGCCGGGCGCACGCGCCCAGCGCGACAGCACTGCACCGCCGGGAGACCTCAAGGCGCAGGTCGGGCCTGCCCCCCTGCAGGGGGAGTTGAAGCGAAACATCAAAAATAGTCAAAAAAACACCCCAAAGATGCCTCAAAATGCTAAAAACAAATCGTCCCCATACTGTTGTCTACTATTTCTGAATATTCGTCCTGTAGAGGGACAGGCCCGACTTAACTCAAGGCCCCCCCGGCCGCGCCCGCGGGCGCACGGGGTCCAGCAGGTCGTCCAGGAAGAGCACGTCCAGCGCGTAGCGCTTCACGCCCACGAAGATGGGCGGCGGCGGTTCCCGCGCGTCGCCTTCGTCGCTGAAGTAGCGGGCGAAGACGCCGCCCTGGGCGCCGAACGAGGCGGTCGAGAAGGCGTCGGGCCAGCGGCCTCCTCTTCTTCCTCCTCCTCCTCCTCCTCCTCCTCCTCCTGCTCCTCCTCCTGCTCCTCCTCTTCCTCCTCCTCCTCTTCCCCCCCTCCCCCTCCCCGTCCTCCTCGTCCACCTGAAACTTGTAACAGCCGTTTTCCGGACAAAAAATGCTTGAGTCAAACGGCGTCGGTCGACGCACTCTGGGCGTTCCGAACCAGGTCGTGTCCGCGGCGTTCCCTGCTGCACTACCAGGACGCATCCTTCTCACCCAGTCGCAGTGTTATACATGAACACCCCCTCTGGGCCCATTTGGCCTGGCCGAATAGAAAAACGGGGGACGAGAACGCAAGGCCGGGTCTCCAAGACAGCAGGTCAACTTAGAAGAAGGTAGTTGAAAGCAAAACTGGTGCAAGCAGAAGGCGATTGTGCTTTGGGCGTAACAGCGCAAGGACCTCCGAACGCGCGACACAATGTGTCTAACTGTCCCAAGGCACCAAGTAATGCAAAATGACAAACCGATTCTGAGGTGTGAGCGTGTCGACGAGCACGCAGATCCCAACTGATCATGAGCTCAAATCTCAGGCAAAACAGCACGCGTAGGCACTGAGAAGTTGTCGACAAGTGCCACGCATATGCTTATACACGTTGCCAGTGCACACACACACACACACACACACACCGGTTCGACCATATGCAATATCCCCATGAGGGCCACTTTGATCACTCTGATATCTCCACTTCTCACCTTCTCATGTCAAGGAAGCTGACAGCATCGATGTGCCGTACATTTCCAACCTGCGCCTGCTCGCAATGGCAATGGCTGCACTCGCATCCATTTTTAACGATATGCCACGATCAACCTAAAAATCCTTGAGAAACTGCTGCCATCCTAGTGCCACTGAAGCACCTTTAACCATTCCGTAATCCCTGGCTTCGCCTGAAAATAACTCCATAATACCATTAGATGCGATCCCCACATAACGGTGCATCCGCTGATCGATATCAGCGTTTCCTTGTCATCTGCGTAGTCGGTGTCGGTCCACACAGTTAACTCTCTAGGGCGTTCCTCATTCAAATACTGGTACCCACACCTCGTGGTTCTTGAGGTATTTGCCCAATGGTAACTACAAGACTTGTCCATGCTTCTCGGTCGGGGCTGGCATTGGACACGCAAGCTCTTTGAATAAGAATGATATAACTGATAGGCCCTGTGCAAGATAGTTTGCCCGAGCCACTACAGCTTGGCACGCCTTAACTGCTCGCAATGGCAATGGCTGCGCTCGCATCCCTTTTTAACGATATGCCACGATCGAGCTAAAAATCCTTGAGAACCTGCTGCCATCCTGGTGCCACTGAAGCACCTTTAACCATTCCGTTATCCCTGGCTTCGCCTGAAAATAACTCCATAGTATCATTAGATGTGATCCCCACATAACGGTGCATCCGCTGATAGATATTAGCGTTTCCCTGTCATCTGCGTAGTCGGTGTCGGTCCACACACTTAACTCTCTAGGGCGTTCCTCATTCAAATACTGGTACCCACACCTCGTGGTTCTTGAGGTACTTGCCCAATGGTAACTACAAGACTTGTCCATGCTTCTCGGTCGGGGCTGGCATTGGACATGCAAGCTCTTTGACTGAGAATGATATAATCGATAGGCCCTGTGCAAGATAGCTTGCCCGAGCCACTGCAGCTTGGCATGTCTTAACTTCAAGGCTTGGTATGGGCTCCCCATCCTCTTCTTCGCGGGTCTGCTGGCATCTCACATCTTACCTGTACTGCTCCAGGCCCATCTCTTCAACAACTATCTCAGCATGCCTTTGGTCAGCCTCATACCATACGCCATCCCGATTCCACTCCACAATCCAGTTCAGAACTCGGATCGACTTAAATCGTTTGGTCCTGGCCCGAACCTTCCCTGGTTTCAGTAACCTCAAATTCTCCTTGCACGCCCAGAATGGCGGAATCTCTCGAATCGGTCCCAAACCCCCGGTCCCGATCCCCGAGCCCTTGTCCCTGGTCCCTGGTCCCCGGTCTCCGGTCCCCAGTCCCGGGTCCCCAGTCCCTGGCCCCCGCTCCCCGGTCTCCGGTCCCCGCTCCCCGGTCCCCGCTCCTGGCTCCCAGGCCCCGAATCCCCGGTCCCCTGTCCCTTGTCCCCGGTCCCGTCCGCGGTCCGCGGTCCCCACGCCCCCGGCTCCCGCTCTCGGTCCCAGGTTCCCGGCGCCTGGCCCCCCAGCCCCGAGCCCCAGGCCCAGCCCCCCGCGTCCCCGGCCCCCATGTCCTGGCCCCTGGCCCCGGGCACCCAGCCGCCGGCCCCCGGCCCCTTAAGCCCCCCGCTCCCGGCCCCCGGCCTGGATCGCAACTCATGTTCGTCGGAATCTGTAACCGTCGTCGCTGTGGGGCTCCAGAGGCTGGAAACTGGGGGACGTCTCCAGCTGGAGCCCCGATCGTGAGTGAACGGAGACGAAGTCTCGAGCGGGAGCTCCCTCTCTGCGGGGCCGAGCGGGTCATCAGAATCCTGCAAACAAGCAGGAAGCAACAGAGAACAGCAGAGACCAACACAGAGTAGCAGAGTACTGCAGCAAAGATCAGCAGAGAGCAGCAGACAGCAGCAGACAGCAGCAGCGACTGGCAGAGAGCAGCAAACACCAGCAAGGAATAGCAGACAGCAGCAGAGGCCAGCAGAGAGTAGCAGAGAGCAGCAGAGAGCGGCAGAGAAAAGCACAGGGCATAAGAGGTCAGCAGGGAGCAGCAGAGAACCGCAGAGCGAAGCAGAGAGCAGCAGAGAGCAGCTCGGAGATCAGCAGAGGGCAGCAGAGAGCAGCAGACACCAGCAGACCCACACCAGCAGAGAGTGGCGGACTGCAGAGATCAGCAGAGAGCAGCCGAGGCCAGAGGAGAGCAGCAGAGAGCAGCAAAGAGTAGCACACAGCAGCGTCAGAGCAGCACGGAGACCAGCAGAAAGCAGCAGAGAGCAGAGAAGGGAAGCAGCGAGCAGCAAAGACCAGCAGAGACCAGCACAGAGTTTGAGAGACCCGCAGGCGCACCACCAGAGAGCAAGCATAGAGGAAGAGAGCGGCCGAGACCAGCAGACAGTAGCAGGGACGAGCGGAGAGCACCAGAGAGCAGCAGAGACTGACACGCACCAGCAAAGGCAGCAGACAGCAGCAGAGACCAGCACAGAGAAGCAGAGATCAGCAGAGAGACGACGAGACCAGCAATGACGAGCAGAGACCTGCAGAGAGCAGCAGAGAGCAGCACAGGGCAGCAGCGCGTAGCAGAAAGCAGCTCGGAGAGCAGCAGAGAGCAGCAGACAGCAGCGGTGAGCAGCAACGACCAGCAGACACCAGCAGAGAGCAGCATGGCGACCAGCAGAGGACAGCAGAGAGCAGCAGAAACCAGCAGAGGACAGCAGAGAGCAGCAGAGACCAGCAGAGACCCGCAGACAACAGCAGCGACTGGCAGAGACCCGCAGAGGACAGCAGACACCAGCAAAGAGTGGCAGAGAGCAGCATTGAACAGCAGTGAGCAGCAGCGAGAAGCAGAGAGCAGCAGAGATCAGCAGAAAGAAAGGAGCAGAGAACAGTAGAGGGCAGCAGAGAACAGCAGAGAGCAGCTCGGAGATCAACAGAGAACAGCAGAGAGCAGCAGAGGGCAGCACCGAGCAGCAAAGACCAGCAGAGAGCAGCATGGAAACCAGCAGAGAACAGCAGGGAGCAGCAGAGTCCAACAGAGCAGCGGAGACCAGCAGAGGCCAGCAGAGACCCGAAGAGATCAGCAGAGACCAGCAGAGGGCAGCAGAGAGAAGCTGAGGGCAGCAGAGGTCAGCGGAAAGCAGCAGAGAACAGCAGAGGGCAGCAGAGAACAGCAGCACAGCAACCAGCAGCAGACACCAGCAGAGAGCAGCAACGACCCGCTGAGAGCACTGCGAGTAGCAGAGAGCAGAGAGCAGAGAGTGGCGGAGGGTAGCAGAGACCTGCATAGAGCAGAGGAGAGCAGAGGTCAGCAGAAGAGGTCCCAGGTCCTTGGTCCCTGGTCCCCGGTCCCCTGGCCTGTTCAGGGTAAGATTCCACCGTCCCCTTGAATTTCTGGATCTGGTCTGAGGGTCTGAGGGTCTCAGGGTGTGAGGGCTTCAGGGTCTGAGGGTCTGACGGCTCAGGGCCTCAGGGTCTGAGAGTTGTAGGGCTCAGAGTTCGAGGGTCTTACAGTCTCAGGCCTTAGGGCCGTTGGGCCTCAGGGCCTTCGGGTCTTCGGGTCGCAGGGTCTTCAGGCGCTTGGGCGCTGTGGCCTCAGGATCGTCGAGGTGTAGGGACTTTAGGCCTTCGGGTCGTAAGAACTTCGGCCTTCGGGAATTTGGGCCATAAGGCCTCAGGTCATCGCAAGGTTGCGGGGGCTCAGGGTCACAGGGTCGCAGGTCTACGGGCGTTGGGGCGTTGGGGTCTCAGGAACTCAGAGGTGATGGAACTTGCGGTCTTAGGGACCTAGGGCATTCAGAATCGTAGGATCTAGGGCCTCAGGACCTTTTGGCCGTCATACCTTAGGGCACGGGAGTCGTGGGGTCTCAGGGCCTCAGGTTCGTCGGGTCCAGAGTCTTGCGGCTTTAAAGCGTTGGGGTCTCAGGGCCTTGACATCTCCGGCCAAAGGATCTAGGGCCGTAGAGCTTCAGGGCCTCACTCAGAAACTGAGGGTCTCAGGGTCGTGGGGTCAAGGGTCTTCGGGCGCTATGGCGTTAGGGCCTCGCGGACTCCGCGGTGTAGGGAATTGGGGCCTTTGGGTCTCAGGGCCAATGGTCTCAGGGTCGTTGGGTCTCAGAAATGTATGGCCGCATGGCCGCGGGGGCCTGGGGTCATCGGGTCACGAGGCCTGCGTGGGGACTTAGGGTCTTCGGGTCTCAGGGTCTAGAGCCTGAGGGCCTGTGGGTTCCCAAGGTCTGAGCGTCTTCAGTTCGCGGGGTCGCGAAGGCGTTCACATGTCT